AAGTAAAACAAATCCAAACCAAAAAAAAAAAATTTTGATTCGAAAAATCACAACTTTACAAGTTCACCACTTAATTGCAAGTCGGCTGATGGCATTTTGACTCACATTTCCTGCACATTCGGCTGACATGCAAACAAGCGCTCGCATTGGCGGCGACTCCAGCAATTGAATTAAACAAAAAAAAGTGTGTCATCCGCCATAAGGAGGTAACCAAACAATGGAGACCGAACATTCTGAGTTACTCATCGTATGAACGTTGTCGTTCATAAAATTCATAATTGCACGAAATGTATAAAAATTTTACAATATTTAATTTATGGCGAGTTTAATGTGAGATGCGCCTGATCATTCATTGGAGTGCCTTGCCCAATGCGTTACAGTTGGTTGACCAATTTTCAATGGCATCCAGTGTTTCGTATTGCTTTGTCACATATGTGTAGACATACATGCATACATACAGACATGTACTACACATATAGGTATTTCTTATAGGCAGCACACGCAGTTGTTGCAACATCTTCCACATTGCTTTGTGAGAGTAGTCGATTATTAAATATTACAAAATATATGTATGTATGTACATGGCTTATTATTTGGTCGAATTAGTGGCGCCGAGTGTTCAAAATTAGCCTAAAGTTTATAGCTATATTATTCTCCCAAAGCATTTTTTTGGCACTGAAAGAAACGGGGTGCTACCCGCAACAAGCTTCTCTTCAACTTCGTTGATTGCTCCCCTTTAGCTTCCAGTCGACAGAAATTGACCCGACAAAACATCTACATTTGACGTTTGAATTGCCATTTACACTGGTCGATTTTGGTTGAACGACAAAAATCGACTAGAAAATCGACCCACTTAAAGGCATCTTATCGTAATGTCTATGTCACAAGAACGACTCGCAAAAACTCGCCCAGGTACCGTGAACTAAGCACCCGCAAAAACAACTACTACAACCACATCTACGAATGGTCGAAGGGGGCAAAAGAAATCAAATTATCTGGAACCTTAAACGATGCCTCAGATAGGTTAGATACCTCCTACCGAGCGAAGGTAAATACAATTACAAAATGTAGATGAAGATGTATCTTCTGCCATCAAACAAGTAGGCAATGCATTCCGATCAGGTTGGCTTCTGCATACAAATTAGTTTGCACACGAAATTACTAGATCCTTTATAGAGAATCAGTGAATGAATTGTCAATTTCTTCACTGCCAGAAACCTGGAAATCTCCGCAGCGAAATCCACTGCCACACTTTTGCCTACGTGGACCAAGGATTGACCGATGGTCAATAACCTCAAAAGTCACGTTTGACAGCCTGCTCTCAGCGATGGCCTTCGTCATCTGTAATAAATTTCGTGGCAGAAACAAAGTCCATTAGTCGCTAGCCAGCAGCACCTGACGAGCCGACAAAGAGGTCCTGCTCACAATATGCAAAGCGATCAACCGATCGGTAGAAAACTACAAACGTGAGGCGGCACCTGCACGGCTGCAGAACAAACATCGAGCCGTACTTAGACCATCCGTTCGACGAAGAGCGATAAAGAGCGGCACTACTATAGAACAAGTATGGCAATGCAGTCAAGAGGAGTCTCATCACCCGTAAGGACAACAGGATCAATATTGAAGAGAGTGAGACTAGGGGGGCTATACGCATGAGAAATGCGATGCGATAGGCAATCGCTACTGCATATTACTTACGATGTACGATGTACCCTATCACAATTTATTTCCACCTGTGGTGTCGCAGGGCGGGTTGATTTTATTCAAAAGGAAGAAACGAAAGGCTGAAATAAATGAGTAAGAAAATTGTGAGATGCTGACAGCAATCATGCATTGTAAAAATAATAAATCCCCTGGAACTGACTTAGTTTGGTCTGACGAACCTATGGAAGTTGAAGCAGAGAGTCAGAGAGGTCAGAGCCCTGCTGTGGAATTCTGACAATCGCTACGCTGAGAATCGTTATCGCTAAATGAAAAGCAGTAGGGCCTGAAAGTATGCAACATGGGAGAGTAACACAAGCAATGCGCAATCATCCAAAGCTGGCACTGTTGCACTAGATGTTGCATGAAGATGTGGCGCCTGTTATTCTTTTGAAGATTTTTGGCGAACAAAATTAGCATCATGGGTTTTGTTAGAGAACCCGGGTCCACGTAATTTGCATGATTTAGTTTTTTTTTATTACCAATTATTATTTCATATACTGTTTCAACATATTTATGTAATTTTGACATTTTTCAGGATATGGACACATATCTCCACGGACGGACTGGGGTAAAGTGACAACAATTTTTTACGCTATTGTGGGCATTCCCCTGATGCTGCTGTGCCTTTCTAATATCGGCGATGTGATGGCCACTTCTTTTAGGTAGCCAACCAGCTCCAATACAGACTTTAAACAATTTTTTCAACCGAAATTTATTTCTTAATATTTTGATTCAGATTCATATACTGGCGCGTTTGCTGCTATGTTTGCACGCGCGCTGCGCGGCGCCCACGTCGTCCGCGTCAGCGCTCCAGCCGAGGTCAGCGTTACGCGTCCCGTTCTCAACCGCCGCCAATACGGCGATCAATCCGTCTTACGCACCGCTCTGTAGCCGATTCCGGTTTCGGTAACTCTGTTGGCCTACCGCACGCCCACTCTGATCCTGAATTGCGCAGCGGGCGTCACGACTACGAAGGCGGACGCAGCAGTGGTCGACGCCACCAACACATCAGTAGTCCACAGCGCAGCCGCCACATACCGCCTTACCAATACGAGCAACAGTCTTACGATGAAGGACCGCGGCAAACACAAACTCTCAACCGCGGCTCAAGATTCGGGCGCAGCATGCGTAATCGCGAAAGCATACGTGGCCGACACACTGTCGAGCGTGAGCGCTATGTTGGACACTCCCGACAGCGGCTGGGTTCGTGTGAAGATCTAGGTGGACCGCCGATTCCGCCGCCCTCGAAACGTTCGTTCAGCATGCGATCGGTGCGCGCGTCTAGCGCTCGTCGGGATGTCGCTCCTCTGGCGCCTGCAGCACGCGCTGAGGTCCGCGATGGGCCACGCGAGTCACGAGAAACGCGTGAAATCAACCGTATGAATCCCCGTTCTTTGCAGCGCGGCCGATCAATGCCACAGGCGCCAGCCGCCACACGCGCTAAATCTGTTGATCCCCGCCTTCATTACGAGGACGCCGTCGATGAGGAAGTTGTGCGCAAGACTCCCATCATACCCAACCGGTATGCGATTGATGAACTCGATCACAGTCATAACCGCGCGCAACGCGGCAAGCACATGCCGCGCAGTCAATCGATGCCGCGCCCCTCACAAATCAGAAACAGTTATCACGGCGATCCGCGCAGCAATGGCGATAGCTCGTACCACTCACATCACAATCAACCGCGACATGCCTCACCACAACCAACAACACATCGACAGCAATCAGGATATCATTCACACTTTGGTGATCGGTTGGAGCTTCCCGACTTCGAACCTCCACACATGAATCATAGAAAGCGTGGAAGGTCCCTAGCGCCGATGGATGACTATGACGAAGATTTCGATGATTATTATCCGGACGATCGCGACGTTTACGACGAATACGACAACCGTGATATGGCATATCAATCAAAGCACAGAGATCAGCGGCATCGGAGAGAGCGGCCAGGTAATGCATGAAACGGAAGTATATATGTACATATTGGGAAACAGTTTTTTGATCAGTGTTGGAAACTACTACTCAACCGAATTATAACAAAATAACGGGTCTTGATATTTTAAAAATTATGTTTCGAATCGAATATCAATTGATTACTAATGCCGGGATTTGTACGCTCCATTTAAAAGAAAACAAAATATTAGTCTCCGACCGAAGGGTTTTCTTTTGGCTGAAATCGAACATGAACTCTTGGGTTTTTTCGATTTGTCATTTGAACGATTTATTGGGTATCACCCTTAAATGTGTTTGCTCCTCTTCTACACGATTTTCGCTTTATGGCTTTGGGTTGATGATAGTCGAGGCTATCACTGAATTCGAATATTAACTAACGTAGCGCATGTTAACCTAATTCTGTTGGCGGAATATTTTTTAATTAATTCTCAATTTCCTATTTCTCTCGTCGAATAGAACGCCTTCCACCCTCACCGCGCATAATGTCACCGATGGGATTCCCTGTGAAACGACAGATACGAAGGCGACTCAGCTTTGATTACGACGATGACTCCTACTACGGTGACGACTGGAGCGATTATGGCGATATGTCCCCCAAAGATCGTCCAGTGCCAATTTGGTTATGCGTGTTTTTGGTAATAAGTTATATTTTGGGTGGCGCAGCACTTTTTGCCTACTGGGAGAAATGGTCGTTTTTAGATTCGGCTTACTTTTGTTTCATAACTTTAACAACAATCGGTAAGAACCCTTTATATTCGCCAAAACAGTGAACATCGAATGTATGTATGTATGAATGTACCAAAGTCAAACTTCCGTGCTATTTTCAGGCTTCGGCGATTTTGTGCCTGCAAAAGGTGTGAAGGACGAATCAGAGCAATCAATTGCTTACTGCTCCTTATACTTGCTATTCGGTATTGCGCTACTGGCAATGAGTTTCAATCTTGTACAAGAGGAGTTTATTTCAAATGTCAAGGAGGTGGCGCGTCGGTTAGGCATTTTAAAGGATGAAGAAGAGGATGATTAAATGTTTTGTGGAATGGTTTATTTTCCATTGTTTCTTTATAAATCAAATCAAAATATTTACACACAAAAATTAGATTTAAAGTGTTGTAATTTAAAATTGTATACATATAGAAATATAATTAAAAGAAATTTAAAGTATTTAAAATTATATAGAATAGAATTTTAAAAGAACATTCAGTGGTGACATAAAAGGAAGTACAAATCAAAGGTAACAAAGGCAGACTGAACAAATTCATTTTCCAATAACTTGCCGATTCCAGTAAGGCATTTTGAAGCGTTTTATATGCAATGCGACATGCTGGCCTAATAAAACTTTTAAGTTCAATAGCAGTGATTATTGCAATCGCTTCACTTTTATTTACGTAGTTTTTATAAACGTATTGAAATATTGAAGTTCAATCGGAAGAAATACTTATGTTTTCAATATCTTCTTCTATGCCAATCTTCTGTTAGAGATACCTTTAACAAAACATATATCGTTGTCTTTTGAATGAAATATACAGCTATGGATACGTGCAAGAAAAGAAAAAGAACGTAATAGATGCGATGAAGCTCAAGATATGTTTTCCTTGTTTGCCTGCAAGTGGATTAAAAATAAATGATAAGCATAAATACAAGCATACATATATACATAATTATAAAGATACCCACTCTAATAGCCGGCGCTGACGAATTATGCGTCGGAGATCGTTTGCGCGGTGAAGGGCCGGTCGACAATGAGTTGCTATTGCGCAACTGATTTGATAGTAGAACATTCATCCTTTTGGATGCGCCATTAACTTGCTGTGGTGTTGCTACGTTTGTTAAGTCTATAGGCGTCGAGTTTAAAATGACTTCAGTATTAGATATCTCTTGTGCCGAGTTCCTTAGTTCTTGCTCGTCTTCGCTAGCCTTAAATTTCAAAATAAAATGAATAAAATAGACTTTTAAAATATAATTTTTCGCTTAATACTTCATCAATGGGAGCTGTTGTATCCAAATCAGACCAATCGTTTTCTTGGCGAAACCGTTTTACAATATCCAGGTGAGGCGAAGTAGCAGCCAAAGAACGAGGATACACAAAGTTGCGTTTCGATGGGGTAGCACCTGCAAAATTAAATATTAGTATATTGCACACCGTCTTCAAAAGAGTCACAACTCAAAATAATACGTTTATCAGAAAATGCGAAAAACTGATGATCAATGGACATGAGCGACTTTACCTTTGGCTTTTTTTTAACAAATTATAACAAAAATATGCTTCAGCTTTTGCTGAAAGCTAAATAAAAGCTCTATGTATATTTTTAGCGCATAATTTCAAAAATGCCAAATTTTTAGTTGGGACTCTTTTGAGGATGGTGTGCGATATGTACAGCCCTAAAAGGATTTATTAGCTTTAGAGCAGATGGCTAGCTAGAACCAACGGATTTATTACCTGTGGGTGCATATGTCTTGAGCTCACTTTGCTTGAAATTATTAACATCGTTTACACATGTTTGCATTTGATCTTTGTACGTGTCTGCATAATTCAGTACACTTTGTTGCAAAGAGTTGGCCAAGCCGCTTGAGACCACCACATGCTGCTTCAGTTGATGAGAATCCTCGGCAAGACCCTGCTTTACAGCAAGAGTTGCATCTTCGACTCTCTGCTCGCTCTCCAATCGGTTTCGCTTTACTTCAGCTTCAAATTCGTCAAGCACTTTTCGAGTGTGTTCGGAGTGGGTAGCAGCCGTAGCTGAAAACTCTTTTACGCGATTGCTGCCATCTCTCTGCAAAGTACAGAGTTGTTCCTGGAGAGAGCTGTGAACGTTTTCTTGTTGAGTACTACACTCCATAGCAACGTTGATATGCTGTTCGAAACCTTTCTGCGTTGAAGCATTGCCGTCACAACTCTTTTCACAAAAGCTTTGCAAAACCGTCGAACTCTGTTGCAACTTATCAATAGTGGACTGTGTGTGTTCTTCCAATTTTACTGTTACCTTGGCGATAGCGTCAGCTCGTGATTGCCGGTTCGTAAAAGACTTTTCTTTTAGTGCGTTCATTTTTTCTATAATTTCGTCCATAATAGCACGTTCTTCTGCTGCAGCGGATCGCTCATTCTCAATCTCTAAGTGTATGTTTGTCAACTGTTGCACGCTTTTCTCTGAGATTTGTCTGACTTCAGCAATTTGCTCGCTCATTTGACAAGTATGGGCTTCAAGATGTCTCGACTTTTCTTGGAGGCTTTCCACAACAGTGTTTCGCATTTTTTCAGTGTTCTCTTTTTGCTGAACACTGAATTTCACTAAATCTTCTAGTTTATTTTGCATTTGCTTAATCAATTCGATTTGTTTTTCTTCCAAATCCTTGAACATCTGAGTTAAAACAAATTTGTGTTCTGTACTGGAGTCACCTAATATTTTGGAACAGTTTTTAATGATTGAGGTCGTGGATGCCAGCGATTCCTTGCATAATTCGTTGACTTTTTGGATTTTAATATCACTCTCGCTTATTAACTTCTTATGGGCATTTGCGGTGTTAGCTGAGGGAGTATAGTTAATTTAAAGTTCAAAACTTATCTGTAGCGAAGACCTTACCGAATTCCTCTAGTAGCACCTGTGTGTACGACTCCTGTTGTTCCTTCATATTACTTAAATTACTATCCATTAAATCAAAGTTGTCACGCATACGTTCAGAAAACTGCTCACAAGCAGTTTGAATTTTTACGTCAACGTCTTTTCTGCGTTCAATTGTACTCTGTAAAAACATAGCCAATTTGAATGAAATTATTTATGATTGATTACTAAATATCAAATTTACATGTAACTGATGAGTATCTTTCGTGGCAACGTCAGCAACATCCAAAATAGTTAGTGCCTGATTCGTTAATACTTCTTCTGTTTTCATGTGTGATTGTAATAAGACTTTCTTCTCTTTATAACGTTTCTTAGTACAATTAAGTATCTATAAATTACAAACAGAAAGGTTGAGATAGTTAATTTGTTTTTATATCTTATATTTACCCTTTTAGTTTGCTGAAGCGCCCCTTGTGTCTGAGTTAGATTTTGTTCTGTGCGTTTTAGTTCCTCAGTTTTTTCGACTAAATTTAAGCTGACTTCTGTAAATATTCGTTCTTTATTCTGCAGCTCATCTTTCAATGCTTTCAAAAGCAACATTTTCTCGTTTAACTCCCGGTTTTGTGAATCCATTTTCAATGCCATTTCGTTGTAGGTCTCTTCGGCTAAATAAATACCGTTCTTGTCTCGTGCGGCTATCAAATCACGTTTCAGTTTATCTATCTCTTCAGTATATTCCTTTAGCACAGTTTTTTTTGTTAATTTCTGATTAACTTCTGGCTTGTTTTGTATATTTTTGGCGCGATATGCATATTCGAGAGTACTGAGTGTTTCTTCAATGTCTTTATGACCAGGTGAGATCGTAGCAATTATTGATGTTTTGGTTCGCCCACCTAAAAAAATAAAATGGAAAGTGTGAATAATTTTATTTTCGGTTCAGAGATATTAAAATTTACCTAATGACTCCTGCAGAAGACGTGTTAATTTAGATTCACGGTATGGTATATGCGGTGTTCGTTCAACCAACGCAGTTATAACACGTCCCAATGTCAACAAACTTTGGTTTATATTTACTGTTTCCCTAGCTCGAATGCCTTTTTCGTTTCCAGCCTTGCTAACATTTTCACTTCCCGCTAAATCTACCAAATTTAGTTTTCCTATTTTCAACATTTCTTCACCGTCTATGCCATTTTCGCGAATATGCACCAGGATTGAAAATACAGTATGAGATCGAGAAGATTGTGCATTCATTAATGTGGTAGCTGTTTTGCGTCGTTCTTTTCCCTTTTCGAGAAGCTTGTACACATCGTCTTTGCTATGAACTGGTATCTCTTCCAAGCCTTGAATGATAACAGAGCCTTTCTTTGTACTATCATCGTAGATGCGTATTTTTACGCTGTCGTCTGAGGAGAGCAGGTCACATAGCTCTTCATTGTATAGTTCCAAGTAGGAAATGCGCATTGAAAACTCCATTTCCAGCATACGCAACTCATCGAAAAGATGACTCAAAGCCCGTGGAATAATGCCGATGTCCGAATCCTAAAAGTATCAAAAACACGTTTTCTTATTTTTTCTTAAATAATGAAGTGCACAAATATCTTGGTTGAAGAATCGCAGGTAGTAATCTCAAATACAATCGTTTCAAGGTTTTTGTATCTTTTAATGAAAACTGGTTTTGCACCCACTACATTGTGCAAAGCTTACTCAGTACCCTTTTAATAACCTTTATTAGATACATATCTGTGTTCGTATGAATTAGTAGCTTATGTCGAAAGGCTGGCTTTAGCATAATGTGGCATTCGCAACATACGATTGCGAATGACTCACTGACGCCGAGCCGTTGAAGAGCTTTTGGTAAAAGTGTGAAATTGTTCCGATACTAACAAGACAATATTTTTATTAAGTCTCATAAAAAAATCCTTGTCGTTTAAAGAATAAACACAGATAAGTACTTACGTCTTCCCAAGATGACTTTAATTCTGCGCATTCAGTGCCCACCATGGTATGAGTTTTGCCCGTTCCCGTTTGACCATAAGCAAATACGGTGCAGTTGTAGCCGGACAACACTTCCTCAATGAGAGGTGCCACCACCGTACTGTAGACATCCGCCTGCCGCGAGTCTGTACCAAATACACGATCGAAGGTAAATTTCTTTGTCAGCTTCGACTCAATGGTATGCCGAGTTACTATTTCACGTGGCGAAATGGTATCTATCACTTCCGCCGATCGAATACAACGTTCCCGTGCATTTAATGGCCTATAGAAAAGTATATATTTGCATTATTTGATATTTTATTGCTGAAAAATCGCTCTTCGAATAGTGCACTCACCGAACACGCACATACACCTGAATATTTTGATTAGATATTTTACGCGGCTGATGGCTCGATGTGCTGTTGGTGCCTGCAGATGTATTCATCGCAATCAAATATATATTTTCACAAAAGTACAATAAACAATAAATATGCTGGCCACACAAGGAAAAAATTCAACAACCCCGCTGCTATTTACTTGCTCCAATCGCTGAATTCGAATCGACCGTTTAAAATGCTTCGTTCACTTTCGTACTGCTGGCTGAACGAAAAGGTGCTGCCCATCGGCGCAGGGTTGCATGAGCTCAAAGGTACTGCTATTTTTATTTTCTATTTTTAAGATTTTTGTATTGCGATCGAAAGCTCGTCGATTGTTCTTTAATGTTCGTAAACTTTTAACGTTTGTTCGTTAGCCAAAGATTTATAATTAATTTTTCAATTTTCACTTTACGTAATTTCAGTAGTTAGCACCCGCAACGGATTTTTTTGGGATAATTATTATTGCATTCGATAGTTCGTCGTTTGTTCTTCATTGTTCGTCCATTTTTAACGTTTGTTCCTAAGCTACGGTGTTTACATGAGGAAAATTTTAGTTGAAAGCAATAATCGCATGGCCTTTCAACCAATTGCTTCCAATGAAGTTGGGGGGCAGCCAACTTTTGATTCAACTAATCGCCTCTAAAATTGTCTGGAAAATCGCCTCATGTAAACACCCTTTTAGAGATGAGTTGGAGAACAATGTTGGATATCAACTTGAGAATTATGAATTTCTCTAAGGTTGGAGAAATATTTTTCTGGTGTTTGCTGGGATAGCAGATATATACATATATAGCATTTTCAGTTTAAATGAAACCATTTTCAAATTAAGCGAAACCTTTTTCAAATTAAATGAAACCTTTTTTCATGTTAAGCGAAACCTTTTTCAAATTAAATGAAACCTTTTTCAGATTCAGTGAAACTTTATTCAAATTAAATTAGACTTTTTTCAGATTCAATGAAACTTTATTCAAATTAAATGAAACTTTATTCAAATGAAATGAAACTTCTTTTTTGGATTACTTTGAATTAGCTGTTACGTGTTGCTCTCCCTTAAAGGCTCTGTTATGCATACTTGGCATTGCATGCACTGCTATACCATTTTTACGTAGAAATCAAAAACCAACAGACTTCTACGTATGTAGTGCTGTGCGTTCGATAACCGATTACACGCGAGGCTCATTTAACAGATTTCTTATGTGACAGCTCTCAAGCCATGCCAAGTATGCATAACGGAGCCTTTACGGTCAAGGCATGTTAAATACAGTGTTGCCGTTTCGGTCCAATTGGACCAAAATAGGTGGTTTCATTTCTTAAAATAAAGCTCTGGTAGGTTGGTTGGTTTGCTGTGATTTTCGAGTGGTTTTGGTAACTAGGCAAATCATATAATTTATTCATTTTATAAAACTTCAAATATCTCTGTTTTCGGGAGTACATGTAAAGGATGATGTGAAAAGGAAAAGAGAAATGGGACATATCAAAATTATTCTTGAACCGAAGTTGAATGTTGCCGTGATTAGACTGTGCTCTAATCCATAGGGTTTGTTTAAGTTAAAAGAAAATAATTAGACAATTGTTATGCAAATGCCAAAGTTTACATTTCGCTTAAGCGAGTGAGTGAGAAGGGAGAGTATTTGTGTGTGTTTTTACGTAGAAATCAAAAACCAACAGACTTCTACGTATGTAGTGCTGTGCGTTGGGTAACAGCTTACACGCGAAGCTCATTTAACAGATTCTTTATGTGACAACTCTCAAGCAATGCCAAATATGCATAACAGAGCCTTTAGTGTTAGCCAGACATGGCGCAAACGGCTCTTAATAGGTTAAGTTGATTTCCTGTTCCTTAATTTAAAATAGTTTAATACTTAATTTGAATAAAGTTTCATTTAATTTGAAAAAAGTTTCATTTGGTTTGAATAAAGTTTCATTGAATCTGAAAAAAGTTTCATTTAATTTGAATAAAGTTTCACTGAATCTGAAAAAGGTTTCATTTAATTTGAAAAAGGTTTCGCTTAACCTGAAAAAGGTTTCATTTAATTTGAAAAAAGTTTCATTTAAACTGAAAATGCTATATATATCGTCGTTTAAAGTACAAAACCGCGTATCGTGCTTCTGCAAAACCGCATAACTGACACACAAGCTCTTGGCTCAATCCTTGTCCATTCGTCCTGAAATATACTAGGCAGATATGCGATTGCTTTATAAAAAAGAGAACCATTTTGAAATATGAGTGTTTTTACGCTCTAGAAAATAATTTCTACAACTTCGAATACGCGGTTTTGCATTTTGCTGATACCCGGTTTTGCATTTTAAACGACGGCATATATGTCCACTTGAAGATTTGTTTTTTTTTCAAATAAACTTGAACAAAACAAAGTTTCGTAACAAGCTGGAAACCACCACCATAAGTGGTATTCTTTATACGAAGGATTACTTAAAAAATTGCGGTCATGAATGCCATGATATAGATTTAAATGCGAACAAAGATTTATTAAAATACTTTAAAAGTACAATTTCAAGACTCAAATTAAAACGTATTTATTAATTTATATGTCATACCTGTATATTTTTGAAGTTATCTACAATTTTGGTTAATTTTCTGGCAACACTGTATGCACGGAGGAACAGGAACTACAATAGCAGAAGAATACTTAAATATAAAGCAGTTGATATCCATGATACAAATATTTAATATTCGGTTCCGCTCGCTCAATTCGTCGGCCATCATTTATTTTTTGAATTTCGTCTACTTTATAAAAATGACATTTTGAGAGCAACTCAAATACCAATGGCCCTAGAGACATATCAAGCTAATATTTTTTCAAGGAACAGTCCTATGTATAAAAGCACGCAAGAGCCACGTTGGGAAAAGTTTTTTGATCACAATTCATTCTTTCGTGTTTTTTTTTGTTTATCTAGCTCATAAAAAACAATGCATATCGGCACCTGAAAACTTTTTAAGAACGCCATACTTCAGAATTTGATTAAAGAACGCCGTATTTCAGAATTTTATTGAAAAACACTCTATCTCAGAATTCGGCTCAAAAGCTGATGTACGCTTCGAATCAGCAGCTGAGAGAGGGCGTTTCTGAACTGAATTCTAAGATAGAGCGTTTTTTAACCAAATTCAGAAATAGGGCGTTCTCGAACTGGCCGCCGAGATATGAACATACATATGTACTCACGGGAAAAGCTCACTCAAAATACAAATCTCACTCAAGGTAAATTTCAAAAATCGAGTTACAGGTAGATACTACACCATAACTCGGCAAACCAAACAATTGTTTACTTAGTTGAATCTGATTTAATAAATTAGTTAAAAACTATATGGTAAAATTAGGTACATAATTTACAAACAAATTGGAAGTAATTATCAGTAATTTAGTGCACCCGAGTATTCGTCTATTTTGAGAACGAAAGTTCTCCGTAATGGCGAAACTGGTTTACTAGCAGCTGCTATGAAGTGTGAATGTGTTTTCTGTTTGAGCCAACTTTGCTCACGCTGAAGTGATCGAGTCACTAGCCAGCCGCTGCAAGCCAAGTTGTGAGCGCTGATGCGAGTTTAGTTTCAAGAAATCTTCGGTTTGTGTAAACGTTTCGGACGGATGATTGCGGTTGTGCAAAGTGAAAAATATATTGCAGAAGAAAAAGAAAGGAAAGCTATGCATTTTATTACTTTCAAGTGAGGAAATCCGCAGTTCTTACGATTGCAAAATTGCTTTGTTCGCAATTCTACGTTCATTTTTTGAAAGAATTGAAGTGGAGGAGCGGAAGCGCGGCTCCGGCAACGGTCAAAAAGTCGCCAAAAGGCAAAAGTCAAAGCGAGTTTTACGTAAAGTACGCAAATACATATGCGTCTATTTACAGTCATATATACATGTATAAACATATCTACATAGGTACATATATACTCACGTCGTGAATATAAACAACAAATTCGGTATATATTTTAGTCGCATTTCGGCGATTTTCTGCTTTAATCGAGTTTTCTGGTGCCAAATGCCATTGCTGTACGACGTCGTAGGCCGCCAGTTTCGCATTGCAGCAGCACTCGTACATACATACAAACAAACGTAAAAGTGAGTGAGGTACGAAAATTGTAGCCTTTGTGTGAATACTAAAATAAGTTACGAAAATTTTGCATCTTATTTTGAGATTCTTTAGCATTAAAATGCATATTTTATATTTATGTGATTTGTAAGGAAAATGGAAACAAAACTTCAAAGCCCCCCTTTGATAGTTAGGACAGAGAAATGTGGCGCGTAGATATTTTCGCAACAAGAAAAACCTGATGAACAGGTAGTAAACGACGGCGAAAAAAGAATGAGAATAGTACATAAATGATAGAGAATAGCGAATGGAGCGCGGACGTTTGTTGAAAGGTTTTACAATGTAGAAATGTCTGTATGTTTGATTATTTATTATTTATCTCAGCGTTTGAGTGTGCGTGTTTTTAAGGCCGGTGGAAGCCTAGGCTCGACAGTTGCTTACTTCACCCAAGAAGAATCTCAGCTTCTTTTATTGTCTCATGGTTGAGTCTTCGCTCCATGTTGGTACACAAACATACATACTTACTCACATACTCATACTGTGCATTATAAATTATTGACTAGCAGCTATAATTGTAACTCAACAAGAGCTGTTTATTTTTTATTGGCTTCATGGTTTTTCGTGTCTTTTTACCCACTTTGTTGTTGTTGGTGGCTACTAGCGGGAGGCTATCGGTGATACAATGAATATTCGAATTCCGAATAGAGTTGGCGAACTATAGACAACGTGAGAAACGTGATCTGGTAATTTGCGCTAAAACTCTCTGTTGCAAAAAAAAAAAAACGAAAGCAAATCCATTTTCTAGCTGGGGGGGAGGGCAGCGTTGCACGGCACGACTCAACCAAAGAGCACGTACAAAGCGGATATAGAAAAGATAATTTCGCGTTGAAAACGTTTATCGTTATAAACAGGCACGGATTTCGATGCAGTCATTTTGTTTTTGTGAAAAATCGGAAGTGTTTCCTAGATATGTACATATGTAGGAGATCCATTTGTTATCCCAAAAATTAAAAATTTTTAAGTGAATTTTTCGTAATTTACTAAATTTTTTAATTCTTTGGCAATTTTTTAGATTTCATCGCATTTTTTTGGATATATTTTCGACATATATGTATATCTAGAGCATTATACATATAATACTGTGGTATAGTAAATACACACTAAACTCAATATGTTCGCGAAACCATGGGCCAAATATAGTAAAATTGCGTTTTTAGATTTTCACTTTGACGTCAGTAATTCAAAAATGATTTAAAAGATTCAGTGAAATGTGCTTAGAGAAGAAGTATGGGTATCAAATTAAATAGAAAATTCTGTAGAATTTAAACAGATTCAATTTTATGGTGCAAAATTTTATCCTTGAAATTTCGCAATATTTGTTTTTGGAAAAAATTATATTTAGGGTCTTGTATAAACTCGATAACATTCTCGAATTTCGTCCTTCCAACTTTATCAGCTTAAAAAATTACATGTTCATCCTTGTGAATCCAAGAAAGTTTAATTTTTAAATTTTTTTAACAAATTTCCTCTATCCCATACCCATATTTTTATTCTCATTGCATTGAATTTTTTAAATAATTTTTGGAGTTTATCATATCTTTGAAATTACAAAGTCCTTTAAAATAAATCCTGACGTCAGAGAGAAAAAATAAAAATGTCACTTTAAATAAAAAAAAGTAGGCTTCGAACCCATTTACTTATTATTTATTTTATGGTAGGAGAGCTTTGAAGCACATGCCTCGCAGACGTTGGCTAGCAAAGTAGGTTTAGAGAAGTCGTAACTTTAAATAAAAGTTTCCCTTACGGATATCGTCTATCTGCAGCCATAAATAATCTAAAAAGTATCTTGCAGATGACTGAATGAAAAAAAGCAGTTGAAAATCAGGCCTTAATACAATTTTATCTTTTTAGGTATGTTTTTTTTTTTTATATTGAGAGAACTTTGTCATTTTTTAAGCTAGTAATCCAGGTCCATGTTTTTTCAGTTGGCTCTCAGAAATACTCTCTGCAAGCATTTCCTATGTACTATACTTCTGCTGAATTTCAAATTTGCTTTGATGGCGACGCTATATTAAGTCTGCACCAACTCTGCAATATGATCTTTTCTATAGCACAGAAAGGGACAAGAAGTTGAAAATCCTTTGGGGGCCTTTGAGAGCATTTCTTTGCGCAAGATCTCCTTCCCGCGTGGAATGACGATTGCATCGCCTTGAAGATGTCCTACATACATATGTATGGATGATGACGGTTCGGGGAAAAGATCATTTGAAGTTCTTAGTAAAACGCGAATTGTGTGTATGTGTGTGTGTTTGAATTCTTCAGAAATTCTTATACTACCTTATTAATTTTTATAGAGAATTCAGTTTAGTACATATGTATGTATTATTTCTCGATCAACGTTTGGGGATGAGTCAAAAGAGAAACTTAAATTTAGTAAAAAAGAAATGTTCAATAACTATGCACAAAAGTATTAACTTATATTAAATATACCTATTAAATATACTTGTATGTGTGCTATATGGCAAATAACCTATTAATCCGTAGACAAACACGATCAAATGAATGAA